CCAATCCGATCACTGTCCGCCCTGTAGGCTGTGCCTTCTGAAATGCGCAGTTTGGAGTCAAGGCCAAAGAACGAACCACTCTCCCATATCCAGCCTTTGCCGTCGCTGGGGGAAAAGTGCATTCTTATCATGTGGTAACAAAAAGAAGATAAAATCCCACTGGAGGAAAAGCAATTTTATTTTCTGCCTTGATGTAAACTCTACCCCCCCAATGGTATACTACACAAATGAAAAATATACCACTTTTGCTAGCGAAGACACAACCTGAGATTGTACTATACTAGGAAAACAGAGACCTCTGATTTTCCCTTGGTGCTAGGAAAGATGGAAGTTATGATCAAGACCAGTGGTGCTCAACCTCCAGCCCAGAAGCCAGATCCAGCCCTTGGAGCTAGGTTCTCTGGCCTGTGGGGTTCCAGTGAACACTGTCACTACTCCCCTGTCACCAAATTTCAAGTCCTGTGGGCCAAATGACATGGACCTGCGTGTGAGGCTAGGAACACAGGTACAATCCAGTATGTGGGTTGGTGACTGATCCGGCGTTCAGGGCCAGGGCCAATGACTGATCCAACAGGTGGGGTCAAGGATGGTGGCCAGTCTGTCCCAACACTGCCATAAGGAAGTCAATTGTTATCACCAGCCTCCTCACAAAGACTTGTCTGAAGCCAGAGTGAGTCAGTGGTAAAGTCAAAAATCACCCTACAGTCTGTCCTCTGCACTACAGTCTCTCCCAAACTCCAAAGCCATTACGAGCAATAAAAGCAGGGTCTGCAGACCAGCAGTTTTAGGTGCATATTCCCTGTAGTCAAAGCAACTCAATGCCTGCCTCTTAAACATGTGAATCTTCTGGACAATAATGTCCTAGAATAAAAGTGTGCTTCATAGTACATGATGAAATGCCAGGAAGTCGTTACTACATTCTGATTAGCTTAGAGGACCGAGAGAGGGGTTCATTCCATTATAATTGAATCCTGGCCATGACCTCCTCCAAAACTGCTAAAAATACTAACCATACCAAAGACCTCCCTGTGTAGTCATATTGGGTATGCCTTCACTGTAGTTAGTTCATTACCTATAATTAGGTATCTACTCTATTTGCAATTTCACATTTTTTGTGGAAATCACAAAAAGGAGGTTTCCACGAACCCTGCAGAAAGGCTAGCCCCGTTATTTTGGTGTGGAATCACTAGGAAAAAAAGAACTTACTAAAAATAAAATACTCAGAGCCAGCAGTCCTCAGGGCTGCTGCAGCCCAGCCTTTCAGCCTGCTATGGGGTAGGGGGAGGGGAAGCCACTGGCATGAAGGAGAGTAGCAAAGATGGTGGCTGCCCCCCTATCCCTTGCTGCTGATTGGCCAAGAGGGCTGCCCATTGTGTGGCTGGCCCCACCCTTCTCCACCAATCAGCAGCAAGGGGTGAGGCTACTGGGGCCCCTTGGCCAGTCAGTGGTGGGGCTGGGGGGGAGGCTGCCACAAAAGGGCTGTGAAAATGGTGCTGTGCACCACAAGCAACCTACAATTTTTGTTTTGCTTTAGCACAATTTAGTTAGATCCTTACCTATAATTGGTTTACTCCCCTCAAGTTAGCTTGGCCCCAGTAGAGAAGCCAGACTGAGAACTAGCATGCGAGTCACTGTGTGTAATGCTAAGATTCTGGGGAGTATAGCCCCTGGTTCATAATGCTCCAATTAGATGGGCTACTGAATTAAATCTTTTTAAATGAATGGTGGGAAAATGAATCTGTCTTGTCCAGGAGGGAATTCTGTGAAAGTACTGGAAGACTAGTGGTCCACTACAGTATCTATGCTATAGTAATGTTACATTAGCAGCTAATAAATGTGCTAATTCAAGTGTTAGCCTCTGATGGACCAGCCAATTTGCATGAAAAGCACAACCACAATTGAGTTAAGGGTTTGAGTGTGTTGATGGAACTCAAGATATATAACCCTAAATTATAACCCTTCCTATGTGTTCTCCAGTTGTGTGTGTATAGGACCAAGGGTTATGTCCAGTATTCCCCATCCCAAGGTGAACACAGAACTGTAAGAGATGGGTTGGGAAGTATGTGGAGTCTTGGTTTCATCTTCACAGCACACCAGCCAGAAGACCTGAACTGTTACAAACAGGGAAGAAAACTGCTTCTTGAAACTCTGCAATAAATTATTTCCCAATAGAGAAGAGGGGACGGGGACAGGAGAAGGGTAGAAATCTTGGATCTCACAATCCTTCTCAGGACACTTCTTGATGTGGCGCTACCATGCACCACTCTGACTGAACAGGGCTAAGGCTAAGGACTCATTCATAATGGCCTCTCCAATGAATAAGAGGAATTTGGTACAACTGAAATTCCAAGATACAACCATAGTGTATACAGGTAGTCCTCGACTTGCAACATTTTGAGTTACAACACTTTGCACTTACAACGTTTATAAATTAACACCCTGTTTCAACTTTATGATGTCAGTTTTGACTTTACTATGCTTGATCTGATGCAAAGCCACACCAGCAAAAAAGTTTGCTGTGTCTCTCATCTTCCTGGAGAACATCTGTCCAAACTTCCTTAGACACTTTCTTTAAGAAAGCAGACAAGACTCTAGAAAAACCTGTAGCCAAGAATCCTGAGAAGACTCCAGCCAAAAACCCTTCAAAAAGTCCAACCAAGAGCCTTTCAAAAAGTCCAGTGAAGTCACCTCAAAAAAGTCTTTCCAAATCAATAGGATGGCTATTTACAATATAAATACATTAATGTAGCTATATTACTCATCTATAATTGATCAAGTACAAAATTCTGTGATATTTTTGGTGAAAATAGGGTATTGGGCCTTGGTTCAGGAACCAATCCCCCATTTATAACGTTGTTTCTTATGAGAAAATTGGTTCCGAGTTGCAACGTTTCAACTTACGATGTGGTTTTCAGGAACCAATTATGTCATAAGTCCGAGGACTGCCTGTACTGTATATTGAAGGAGGGTGATTGTGCCCAAAAGCTTGCAAAGAACTTTTTTTCCAACTACCCAGTTGTTCTAATAAAAGACAGCATGTCTACCCGAAGAACCTTGCCAACCATACAGTATGCACTTAGTCTTATAATGCATATATCACAGGGTAATGCTATTCAGCCACTAAAACCTGACAACTGACAAATCATCAGTAGTTCTCACTGGAGGTTCTAAATTACATGATTACTAGGAGTGTGTGAAGCAGGCCCTACTCAATTTAGATTTGGATTTGGCCCGAATCAGGGACAGTGATTTGATTTGTTGATTTGGATCACTGTCCCTGATTCGATTTGGCCAAGTCCGAGTCTGAAGATTGGATGCTGATTTGGAAAATCAGTGATTCAGACATAGACACAGCTTTAAATGTTTCTTCTGCATACCTTGAGGTACCAGCACGGCTCATGAATGCTGTGATGCTGGGGTGAATGGAGCATCCCACAGGAGTGCAGGGGGCCCCCCCATGTGCTCGGTGGTGTACTTGGAAGTACTTCTGGTCCACTTCCGGGTCTGCCAGGCAGTGCACTGGGGCCCCCCCTCCCATACCCTCCTGGCTCAGCGATCAGCTGCAGGGGACCCCAGATGCCCCCCAGACCAAGGAAGTACCAGTTGCTGAGCCAGGGGGCTATGAACAATGGGATAACAGAGTGGGATATGTGGTATATTCCACATGTCCCACATGCATATGTGGGATAACAGGACAGAGTGGAGCCAGGGGGCATTTGAGGTGGTAGGAACAATGTCTAAAGGACAGTGAGAGGCACTCTGGGGCCATGGTGGAATGAGTATCTGGGGGACCCATGTGTGGGATTGCAGGAAGCAGTTCAGTCCATGCCAGGCTGGAGGGATGCAGGGTAACCTCTGTACACCCCCAGCATCAGATACCTGCCCCACTCTAGCACTGGCAGTCAGGGTCCCACCCCTCCCACCTCCCCAAACAACACATTGTATCCCCCTCTAAGCCCTTAGCATATTACTGAAACTTCCAGTTTCTTTTTGATTGGAGAAAAATGTGTATTGTGTTATGCCAAATGCAACATACCACCTAAACCCCTGCCCTCCTTTTCAAGACCCTAGATCAGGGGCAGGCAATTATTTCAGGTGGAGGGCCGCTTACCCAGTTTTGGCAAGCTGTTGAGAGCTGCATGGGTAGCCCCGCCCCTTGACAGGTGCCCCACCCCCTGGTCACCATCTTGGGACCAATGTCCTGGGACCAACGTCCCAGGGCCAGCACCAGTGGGGCCCAGAACAGGGTGCAAGGTGGTAGGGGGCTGTGGAGCCGGCCTCGGCTGCATTAGCAGGGAGGGGAGGAGCTAGACCGGCTCCATAGAGCCCCTGCCAGCCAGGACCCTGTACTCCTGCTGCCCTGCTCTGGGCCCTGCTGGCACTGGCCCTGGGACACCAGTGTGGGCCCTGTGCTCCCATGCCCATTCACTCCCAGTGCCCCCCAGCCCCGCGGCACAGGCTGGGAACAACACACAGCCCCAAACCCGTGCTGATCAGCAGGGAAGGAGCTGGTGCGGAGCATAGGGAAAAGTGGCCCCTCAGCCACACTCACTGCTGTAGCCGCTTGCAGCCCACACAGGGCTGTCCTGAGCAGGCACAGGCAGCCCCTTGCAGGCTGAGAGCGACTGCAGCTTGGGGCACCGGCCACAGGGCAGGGCCGCTTTTCCCCCACTCAGCATCAGTTTGTAACCCACCCCCGCTGTCAGCCTGGGCCCTGCGCAGCTCCTGACTTGCCCGGCAGGGCTGTGGCATGGTGACAGCAGCTGCTTGGAGTGGAAGGAAGCGGCACCCCCACTTGCCACACCAAGCAGTGTTTGCTGCTGCTGCCCACCTGGAGCTCTTGGGCTGGGCAGCACAGAGGCAAAAGTGGCAGTCTCACCGCAGCATACCATGGCGTGAACTCTGCATGGGCAGCAGCAGCAAACACTGCCCGGCACAGCAAGTGGGGGGGCCACAGCTGCTCCCGCTGTGGAGCAGCCCCAACAGGTGAACCCGGAGTAGGCACAGGGCCCAGGCTGGCAGCATGGATGAGTTACAAGCTGGTGCTGAGCCTGGGGGTGAAAAGCAGCTCCTCCCCTACTCCATGGCCAGTACCTCGTATGCTGCAGCAAGGAGCGCTGGCCATGGGGACACACTCAGCACCAACTCATCCCCTGCCCTCCCCCCTCCTCCTTACCTGTGCTTCCTGTGCTGGGAGTCCCAGGCCAGAAGCCCCTGCTGGGGCTTCCAGCTGGGGGGGCAGGGCTGGAGGGCCCTGCTGTTGCAGGAACACACCAGGGCTTCCCCTGGGTCCTACTGCCCCTGGTTCCTGTCATCTTTGACAGGAATCAGGGACAGATAAATTTTAATTTTCAAAATTTTTTTAGGAGCCCCATGGGCCAGATAGAATGGCCTCATGGGCTGGATCCAACCCATAGGCCATATTTTACCCACCCCTGCCCTAGATACACCCATGGTTAGAGCTGATTACATGGGCAGCCCAACTTTCACCTGTGGACACCTTAAGGTCTTAGTTCTACCTTCAAAATCCCTTGGTTCTAGACTTATTTGGACTTATTCTAGAGTTATTTTAAACACATTATTAAATGCTCTATAACCTATACACAGAACACAGGACAGACATCTGGGTCCCATTTCTCCTACAGCAGGAATCTGGAGCAAGTGAAACATTAAGTTTCCCCTTTATTTTATATACAATGTGTCAGTGAAGTATGAGGGAATCCCAAAGAATTGTGTTGCTGGTCTTCTCCAAAATCCTAAAGCCAGCCAAGTATATATTTGTGTGATCATAATGAATAGCAAGGGAAGAGGGAATAATATTCTCAGTGAAAAGTAACCTGAAACAATTTTTCACAGACTCACTTAAAAATGCTAAGGAAGTAGTGAAAGTGTAATATGTTGCAATGTAGTCTGCTGAATTATACCCTTCATTAGGATGCAGAACAAATCTTTTCCTCCTGGCAAAACAGACTGAGAAACAGAAGAAAAATGGAAATCGGATCTGAGCAATAAATTCCCCATTCAGCATGAGATCCCTGCATTTACTGCTGAACTTGAGTTTGTTTGGTTTTGTTTGAAACAAAAGTGACAGGAAACTTCAGAGCAAAAAGAGATCAGAGTCCCTTCCATTTTTGGTCAGCAGACCCTGGAAGAACTACAGAGTCAGAATGCCCAGTCCCAGAATGAAATAGTACACAGAAAGAGCATGTTGCTAGTTGGTCTTAAAAAAAAGTTGTCACTTTTCTATAGGCCACCATAGGAGAACAAACTCAACTATGCAACGTTAGAAAAGGCTCCAACTATTTGTGGTGCAATAGGGTAATGATGTGCAAAAAAACTATCAAGCTGTAAAGCACCATCGATATCAGGAAGAGTCTGAGTCATTTGTCTATGCATGAGCAACAGAATTAGAATTGGTTTATTAGTGTTTCTCTATTCTGAACCACTCAAAGATTAATTGATGTTCTGTCCCTAGATATAGTGGGGAGCAAGTCTGCATCAATAAGGTAGGTGAAGATAACCAGATCTCTGCTAAATCTAATGTCTAAGAAACTTTACAGGTAGCATGAAAATTAAGATAGAGTATGCAAAAAAGTTGCGTCTGTCAGTATGAAGCAAGGGTATATTTGTTAAGGTCAATGGATTTACAGTGTAAATGCAGTATGAGATAGGAATGAGGCAACAGGTATAGTTAATAGGAATTAGGTTTGTTTACCTGATCATTATAATACTGCTCAAAGACATAATCAGAGGCAGAAATCAGGGCTAGATGCAGAAATTACAGATAAACTGGTATAAGTGATTAGAAACCAGTTCAAACCTGTAACACAACAGTTCAGTGCACATAA